AGAAAACAGCAGAATCCTCACCCAGAAGAGCTGTGTGGGGCTGTAAAAAATGTCTCTGGAGGCTGCCTTAGTCATCAAATACCTTTTTAAACTTATAGAATAAACTATAAAGAGAGCTGTAACTCAAATGTTAATATCTCATTAAGTTTTATGAGAGAGAGGAATGGGGAAGATAGGCACAATAAAATTATTTCCTTACAGAGTGTATGATACCAAGAGAAGACTTGCTAATAAACCTGGGGCTCTTTTTTTTACCTGTTTCTGACTCACAGCTTACTTCCTCTGTCTCACGGTATCCATGAATGAAAACATAAAAACTGGGGTGAAGCCTGATTATTTTTATTCTTAATATATACCTTCCCCATTAATACAAATATGTTGAGGACATGCAGAGTAAAGCTTTTACACTTAGGCAGGAAAAAAACCAAAAGTACAAGTACAGATTAGGTGAAACCTGGCTCAAAAACAATAACTATGAGAGGGACCTTGGAGTCTTAGTGGACGATTACTTCAGTTTGAGCCAGCAGTGTGCAACAGCAGCCCAAAAAGCAATGCAATCCTTGGTTGTGTAAACAGAGGCATAGAATCAAAATCACACGAAGTATTAGTACCACTTTATAAAACCTTAGTAAGACCACACCTGGAATACTGCATCCAGTTTTGGTCACCACATTAGAAAAATGAAAACAGCAATTTAAATTATTAGAGGCCTGGAGATTAAAACAGATGAAAAACGGTTGCAGGGTTTAGGTATGGCTAGCCTAGAGAAAAGAAGGACTAGGAGTAACATGATAGCAGCATTCCAGTATCTTAAGGGTTGCCACAAAGAAGAAGGGATCAACTTAGTTTCCAAAGCACCAGAGGGCAAGATAAGAAACAGTGGATGGAAACTAATCAAGGAGAGAAGCAACTTGGAATTAAGGAGAAACTTCCTAACAGTGAGGACAATTAACCAGTGGAACGGCTTGCCTTCAGAAGTTGTGGGTGCATTGTTGCTGGAGGATTTTAAGAAGAGACTGGACAGTCACTTGTCTGAAATGTTATAGAGCAGTGGTGGCGAACCTTTTAGAGACTGAATGCCCAAAAACGGCCCTGCCCCTGCTCCATCCCTCTGCCCACCCCCTCTGCCCCCCATCCCATGCCCCACCTGCCCACAGGACCACTCACCTCCTCCAGGGCCTGCCGCAGATCGCCCAGGCAGCCCAGCAGCACTATGGCGGCCATAACCTCTGTCCGTACCCTGCAGCATCAACTTCATGATGAGGTGTGAGGGCAGAGTCTTGTCTACGTTGCCTGGCTGCATGTCCTGGTCTGTGCTGCTCCATGTGGGCCACACTCGAGGGTGAGTCTCCTTCAGAGGGGCTGCTGGAGAGGAGGGAATCACGGGGGGAGGCAAGGCTGGGGCAATGGCACGTGTGCCCACAGAGAGGGCTCTGAGTGCCACCTATGGCACTCTTGCCATAGATTCGCCACCACTGTTATAGAGTCTCCTGCTTGAGCAGGGGTTGGACTAGAAGATGTCCAAGGTCCCTTCCAGTTCTATTCTGACTGAAGCTAGTGATCCATTCTTTATCCCTTGTACCTGTTCTTTTCCTGATACACCTCAGATTGTTAAAAGGGGGGGGAGCCAAACCAAAATGAAAACTATGAGATAAATAAGAATCAGAAACTACAAGGGAAACTAAAAGAACAGAGAAATTTTGTATATCCTTCTTTCCAAGGAGATCTTATCAATGCTATGAGGAAAGTAAAACTTTATTTCAGGACACTATGGCTTCATGGCATGAAAGATGATGATACAGATATTTATATTTCAAGACATTATATGATGAAGAGATGGTAGAATTATAGATGCTCATTTTATTGTTAGTTTTAATTTATTTTATCTTTAAAATATTACAACAGTGAGGCTTATTGGTCAAAAAAGGACTTTGGTCCCTAGATAACAGAAACTGTACTATTCCTATAATCATGACACTGCCAGGATCTTGAATGCAAAAAAATGTTCAGATTTTGCATTTTACCAGGATTTTGATTTGGTAATTTTCTTTTCTTTTTTTTTCTTTTAGAATACCAAATATATGGAATTAATTGTAAAGCACAGAGTAGTGGGGAGGAAGAAAAGAGACACCATATCTGGATGGCAAAAACTTAGGCCGTCACTAGGTAACAAGAGAATGTTATATATCTCTCTGTTTTTTTTCAGCTCCATTTTTGCAGCTGACATCTGGTAGCCCTAGGAAGTACAATCCTTTTCAAGTTGCTTTTTAAAAGAAAAAGTATACAGGTATTCCTCGAGTTATGAATGTAATGGAGCCTGCCCATTCCATTCGTAACTTGAAAATTTGTGGGAGTGAATCTCGTACCTCGAATGAGATCACTCCCTGCTTGTTAAGATGCACGTGGCTCATTATGTGCACGTGAGGTATCTCAGGATGGGAAAGTCCTTGGGGGCGGTCTAGTGATGGAACAGGCCTCTCCAACCCACTGAGATACCTCATGCTTCCCCTCCCCTCTTGCCACACCAGACTCACTTACCTTGAAAAATATCTGTCTCCTCTCTGCCACGGTTCCTGCTTTTGAAGGACAGGGGAGTCAATGGAATCCCCTGGATGCCATAATAATGTGTGAGTTCAGGCACCGATCCTCTTTTGCAGAGAATGGGTATCTGAACTCTCGTGCTATCTGCAGTGCCAGCCTCCTGCTCCCCACCAACTCCAGAGCCACGTGGCCACCGCCCCCAGAACAGAGGCTAGGGGAGACTTCTGCCTGCCTCCGGAGGTTGGATCCAGGCCTCAGAGGCCTGCTCTAAGCTGCTGCCGCCTGGAAAAGAGCCTCTGGACTCAGATCCAGGCCTCGGAGGCCTCCTCCAAGCCATTGCCACCCAGAACGGAGATCGGGGAAGGCTTCTTCATGCCTCTGGAGGTTGGATCCAGGCCTTGGAACTGCTGCTGCCCAGAATGGAGCCTCTGAGGTTGATTCAAGGCTCAGAGGACTGCTCCAAACTGTTTGCGCCTGGAACAGAGGTCAGGGGAGACTTCTGCATGCCTCCAGAGGTTGGTTCAAGGCTCAGAGGACTTCTCCCAGCTATTTGTGCCTGGAACGGAGGTTGGGAGAGGCTTTTGTGTGCCTCCTTTGCATGCCTCCGAGATTGGATCCAGGCCTCCGAGGACTGCTCCAAGCCGTTTGTGCCCAGAATGTAGATTGGGGGAGGCTTCTGCATGCCTTCAGAAGTTGGATCCTCGGAGGACTGCTCCAAGCCATTTGCACCCAGAACAGAGGTTCCCTTCCTCAGAGGAAAAGAAACCATGGCAGAGAGGATTTTTGCAAGGTAAGTGAGTCCGGCATGGCAGGAAGGGAGGGGGAAGCAGTTGTGGGGAGGGAGCAAAATAGGGTGAATGTTGCCTGTTGCCAAGCCTCTTCAGTTATTCATAAGGGCGAACAACTGCTGTGGTGCTGCAAGATTCATGATTTTGGGACTTGCTCGTAAGAACTAGGGGTCGCTTGTCACATACCCTCATAACTCGGGGATTACCTGTATTTCAATTCATTATCGCATACTTTTAGATAGCATTTGTGAAGATGCAGCTTAAATGACTTTGGGAGACTCCACAGATGATGAGATTTTGCTATTAAAGTATAAAATTTTATCTTCATGTAGAAAATTCAGATATGCACTTCTTGAATTAATGAACTACCCCACCCACTAAATGCCACTTAAATTTGGCTGAAAAATCAATGGGATATTTTTTTTATTATTCATATTTAATTTTCTAGTATTTGTTAGGGGGTTTTATATTTTAGTACGCACACTGTTTTAAATTACAAGGCATCACGAGTAGGAAGATGGCATAGAAATCCAGAAAATAAATAATACAGTTGGTGTTATATAGCTGCACAAGCTATAAACTGGTTGCTTCCAGTCTATTCCAACTACCGTATATGCCGCCGTATTAGGCGACCTGGCGTATAAGACGATCCCCGTCTTTATAGCCGGGCCGCATTCCTAGAACGTCATCTTATACGCTGGAAACTACCAGTATTTCCGGCGTATAAGACGACTCGGTGTATAAGACGACCCCCGTCTTTGGCGCCAATTTCAGCACTCGCGGAAGTCGTCTTATACGCTGGCATTTACGGTATCAACAGGCTGAGATCCTGCCTTATAATTGCACAATCTTAACCCTTCTCAGAATTCATTAACAAACTTAACTATAATTTACAGAAGTAGTTTAATTTTCCAGGTTTTGCAACAGGCTGAAATGTAAACTGATCATAAGCGCTGAGGTCATAAAACATGGTAGGCTTATGCAGTTACTACTCTGAGTCAATGAGTTTTGCAAATTTACCCTCTGATAATCCTCACCTGCTGAGAGTTGCCAGCAAGCTTCTGTTGGAGGCATAAAGGCAGAATAGGCAGGTCTGCTTGTTTGGTTTAATTCACTGACAATTTTACAAGGCAACTGTAGAACATTCAGTAATCTTATTTTCACCGTGATGTGTCACACAGCCTGTATTTTTCAGGAGAAGACCTGTTCACCCCAAATTGTAACTGTCAAATAAATCCAACTTTCCTTTTAATGTTGTGTCCTGGAAACAAAAGGGTAATAACTACAACATGTGTTTTGTCTTCAGTTAAATATCCTAGGATCCTTAGCCTTTTTGCTGGTGCAGTCCAACCATGTGCTAAATTGTTTATTCCCCTTTAATTCACTACTTAAATGAAAGGCCGGGGAAATAAAGAAAGATAAAACAGGAATGATGCTTTGTAAATCCAGCTAATGTGGTTTATAAATGAACCACCGCTGGGATGTAGTCAAGAAACTATGACTGAACTAACAATGTTTTGTGTGAGGTCTGAACCCAGTTTCTCTAATTAGCACTGGGTCATAAGCTTTGCAGGATGGGGACTGCAAAGCTATAAAGAACAGAGACCTATACTCTCTAGCAAGAAAGCAACTGGGTGATAAAGGTTGGATCTTATTGGCACCTGCTTAAAGATGGAGTTATTTCTGGAAGGAGGGAGAGAAGTAGAGAGGAAGAAGGAAAGGAAGAATGTATATAAGATTGTAATGAAATATCATAAAATCAGAAGGATTTGCTCTAATTTCAGTTTCAACCCTTTTTTGCTACTTGCCACTGAGCCCTGGGAGACAGCCTTACCTAAAGTAGTCCTGACTTTCATTGGTTTCTTTCTTTGGGGAGTTTCCCTGCTATTACTGCTTGGAGGAATATTCCTGATCCTTACCTACAAAAGCTATGGAGCTTTCTTTCCAAATCAATTCTTCCTTCTGCCAGGCTGGCTGGCTATCCTGACTGCTGGTCTGCTTTTCCCAGCCGGGTTGCTAGCAGTCTACATTCCTGTGAAAAGTTCTCACTATCATCAAGGGACTCTTATGTATTTGCTGCTGGTCCTGTTCTGTCTGGAAGCTTCCTCACTCACCATGACCCAAGTCTACTCGGCCAAAGCATGCTACCAATTGAAAAGCAGCTTGGGTCACTTTTTTCACCAATACAACTGGAGCTTTCCACATCATTGCAGCACTGAGATCGTGGATTCCATCCATAAACAATTAAAGTGTTGTGGGATCTACAATTACACTGACTGGACAGAAGGGCTCCCAAAGTATCTCCAGAGTGGACACGTCTTTGTTCCAGAAAGCTGTTGCAAAGAGACTTTTTTGGACTGCAGTGGTGACCTAAACAAATCAGAGAAGCTCTTCAAGGAAGGATGCCTTATGAAGCTAAAGAAAAGGCTGCATTTTATCACACATTATATGGTGTGGTGTGGTGTGCTGGTCATTTGCCTGGAGGTGTTAGCTGCTGTCAGCAATGGAATACTAATGAAGGCGCCACCAGCCCAAGACTTTCACATGTTGGATTCTTCTGCTTTTTCTTAAAGTATTTGCTTTCTGTATTTCCTGTGGTTTTACACACACCCTTAAACATTAGCTTATGTAAAATTTGCCCTCTAGTTAGTAATAATTGCTGTCTTAAAGAACACAACTTCCTATGTGTATAGAGATCATATTGGTATGCTTAGATACAATTTTTAAAAGTTAAACTTAACATAAAAAATAAAATTAAGTAATTGCAGAGACTGTACTGGAAAAGTAGTGTTTATTATATTGTATATGAGACAATTAAGTCTTTGATATTTCACTGGCGGAGCTGTTCAAGGAGTGTTAGAAAGTTGGCATTAATGAAATAGTGGTAGGAATTTAATGTCACAAAGATCCTTCAAGAGGATTGAGGTCCGAAAGGAGAGGTGACAGGGAAAAGACAGAATAATTACTTTTTGGAGGAGCATGGAGTACATCATACACCTGGCAAGTGAAAGAGGTAAAGGGGGGGGGGAATTCCCCCCCCCAAGAGAATTCAAGAAGGAAAGGGTGAGAAGAAAAGTACAGATTGTAAGAGATGATTCAGAGCAGGAAATAGAAAGCATTGAATTCTCAACATAAGGCTCTGTGGCATAAGAGTTGACTGGTTCTGAAATAAATATGGATTGTTCTTACAATCACAGGTCTATTTTTACATCAAGGAATATTGTCTCCCTTAAGGATCATGTTTGCACAGGGGCACACCTGAACTAGAACTCTTTAATTCTTAAGGAGTTTATGTTGTACTAGTCTCTGACATGCAATTTAAAAAGATCATAATTTCCTGTCTTTGTAGAAAGAACAGAAGATAAGACCAAACATAATGGCCTACGGTGTTTATAACCAATGAAAATCAGGAGATTCTTATGCAATTTCTGCATCATTTACAGTGCAATGGCTGCCCCACATTGGCTTCTGAAGCTATTTATTAATAAAGCAGCCATAATAGTTTCCTTTTCATTTATTTTTAAGTGCCTACACTGCTTTTCAGCCTTTAAGTAAGTGTAATAGGATGTTTATTCTTACAGCAAATCTGGCAATGCTTTCAGAATAATTGATGGCTTTCAAATGCCATTGCATGAGACTTGCTTTACAGGTGGCTTGGTGATGAGGACACAAAGCATCCAAGATTTTCCATGGAGGATATGATTCCACCCTTTGGCTGTCAGAAGATAGCAAGCAATCCTAATGGCTAGTTGGCACAAATGCCTTGCATGCCTCTCAACTAGATTATTGTGATACTCTGCATGGGGTTGCTTTCATCCAGCCTTAGGAAGCAATACCTCATTTAGAATGTAGCAGTTTAAGTACTTCAAGATGTGCTATTGCATAGCCATGTAACTAACACCTTTGCACTGGCTATTATTTGGATTCCAAGTGGTCATTGTTATCTTTGAAGCCCACCAAAGATCAAGGCCTCAATATCTGCTGGATTGCCTTCTTCTAGTAACATCAGCCCTCATGAAAGGCTTGAGTAGAATGGGCAAACTTTGGGACCCTTCTTTCAGACCTCAGAAGTTTAACTTTTCAGTTGCAGCCTTCTCCTCTGGAACAGTTTGCCCTTGAACCATCAGAATGGTTCCTTCTGGCTTCTAGAAAGTCCATTAAAATGTGGTTGTTCCTTTAGTCTGTGGTGCTGGAATGCAATGACTACTTAAACTGATGAAGAATGATGTTTTAATTTTTGTCCATCAAATGTCTCTATACCTGCACGCATATCTGTGTGTCTTTTTCCCTGTGTATTTAACTGTTGTGGTGTTATGTTTAATTTTGATTCTTATCTAAATTTATAAAGGCATGCTTTGATCTGTGTGGTTTAAAAGCCTTGTAAAGGAATCCATTGTTAATAACAAGCTACTTTCAAAAAGACATATTCGGGGGGGAGAGAAGCGATAGGAGAAAGGATCAAAATTCAATCCTTGGCATCTTAGATACAACTTAGAAGAATCTCTACTGGGAATTGGCTAGACCAAAAATGAGACTCTGTATCCCCTCTAGGTCTAACTAAACCATAATTCCTGGTATCTCACTTAGAACTTTGGACTATAACTCCCTTATAAGGTAGTCCCCGACTTATGACCTCAATTGAGCCAAAAATTTCTGTTGTTAAGGGAAACATTTGTTAAGTGAATTTTGCCCCATTTTACCACTTTTCTTGCCACAGTTGTTAAGTGAATCACTGGAGCTGACAAGTTGCTAACATGGTGCAAGTGAATCCGACTTCCCCATTGAGTTTGCTTGTGAAAAGGTTGCAAAAGGTGATCACATAACTGTGGGACACAGCAAAGGTCATAAGTACGAACCAACTGCCAAGTGTCTGAATTTTGATCACATGAAGATGGGAATGCTACAAGGGACGTAAGTGTGAAACATGGTCATAAATCCCTTTTTTCAGGGCCATTGTAACTTTGAACGGTCACTAAATGAACTGTTGTGACTTGAGGACTACCTGTAGTGTCTTCATAGCATCACCTAGTCATCACTAAGTAACATACAATCTGCCCTCAAGGCTGCTATTGTAGCATAATTGTAACTGGAAGATGCTGTAAATTACCTAAGCCAATAGACCAATCATGCAAAGTGGCACTGGGGCGGGGCTTTCTCTTATTTCTTGACAGCAGTCAGAAAGTGAAATCAAGGGAGATCTTAACAGAGTAATATTAGTTCTCAGCCATATCTCCCACAACCATCACCCTCAAAGTCTGCACAGTTTGCTACTGATAAATAGGGACCATCAGTGCACAAGGAGATCCATCTTGCTAACGTGCTTCTAAAATATTCCTTTTTAATTAAAGGGATTTTGTCTGGGTGGTAGCTAATTACATTACAGCGTGAAAAGAAATGCTTTTTTCCAAGAGACTTCTGGTATATTTGATCTTTTAAAGCTTGCCAACAAGCGCCTTTCCTAATGACAGAGCCAGCAATTCTAACAGTAGGTATTCCTTTTTTCTTTGCTAGCACTGTACATCTGTCAATTTCTTATCTGGGATTATGAAGGCTTCTTAGGGAGATTAGCCAGAATTTCTGCTTTCTTTGCTGCTAAATTTGTGAAGTTTGTGTGTCCTGTCATGCTCAAGTTTGACTCAGACTTCCATCCTTCCAAGGTTGGTAAAATGAGGATCCAAATTATTGGGGGCACTATGCTGACTCTGTTAACCACTCAGAGTGTGCTTTAAAGCACTATGGAGTAGTATGTAGTATACATCTAAGTTCTACTGCTATTGCTATTTATTAAATGAACAGCACTGTCATCTTTCTAGTTGATATGTGCCCTTGCACAACTGATCTTGATAGCAACATTACACAACTAAAGTCTCTTGGAGTTAAGTCTTTGTCAAACACTGGAATGAGTAAGAATCAAAACTGCCTCCACTGACATAGCTATCAAATTTATTATTAATTAAATGTGGATGCTGCCAACTGCTGGCAATTCTTCCTTGCTGCATGAATTTAAGACCTTATGAAGTTATTGATACACATATGTTTTCATGCATACAGTACATCATATTTCTGGCAGTTTATATATCATATTTCTGGCAGTTTATATATATATTCTGAGGTTTTCGCGGTTGTTTGTATTAGGTCTTTGGTTATTCGGGTTTGCTCCCATGTGAAATTGGAAGTGTCTTGGCGACGTTTCGATGAAGTCTCATTCGTCATCTTCAGGCTGGTGTTTTCGGCTTCATGCTTCTAGGACCAATGTGTGATCATAGCTGTTTCTTCCTTTTAACTGCCAGTGGATGAGAGCTTGGCTGTGTTCTGATTTGGTGGAGGTGTGTTCTGGTTGGTTAGGAGCTTGGCTGTGCTCTGATTGGATGGGGAGTTGGCTGTGCTCTGATTGGTTGGGGGAGTGTTCTGTTTGGGTGGGGGCTTTATTGTGCTCAGGTTAGTCTGAGTTGCACGGGAATGTGAGATGGTGAGCTGCATTGCTGTTGTTTGGCTTCGCGTTCATGGTCGTGCCTCATCTTCATGGTGGGTGTCAGTTTGCTTCATGTATGGATTGGAAGGGTTTAAAGTGGCTAATGATGCAGCTGTGGTCTGGCTTCTGGTTTGTGGTCGTGCCTCATCATCAGTGTGCTTTTTGCGTGGATGTGTGGTGGTGACATCCTGTGTGGTTTTTGTGAGTGTGGGTCTGGTGTCATTCTTTGTGTTAGGGACTCATTTGTCAATAAGGGTGAGTTTCCAAATAGCTGGTAGGTGGGAGGTATCATCTCGTTTGTTCATGCTGTGTGGGCATTTTTCTATCTCGATGGCTTCTCTGATTATTCTGTTATTAAAGTGTTCAGTTTTGGTGATAGTTCTGGTCTTTTTAAAGTCAATTTCATGTCCTGTGATTTTAAGGTGTTGGACCAGAGAAGAAGTTGGTTGTTGAGGAATGGAGTAGTTGAATATAAAGAGTACAATTTTCATTGGCTCACTTAAATGTGTGAAGGAGCCATCACATAAACAGCACTATCTAAAGAACAATCATCTGCCTCTCATATTTAATATTTTTGAATGACTTAATTCATCACATTTTACTATTCAGTAAAACATTTTTAAAATAAATGTTCATTATCGATGTCTTTTGAGTTGATTTGTTTTGAAGTTTCTCACTCCCATGCTTTTGGAATTCAATAGGCTTTTTGCCCTTTGGAATATAGAATGAAACTCAAGAACCTGATAACACTATGTGCTAAAGAGGTAAGGAGAAAAATATTTAACTATGCACTTCACCACAGTGTGCACGTTCCACTAAACTCCTTATGGACAAGCAACAACATTTTATACTGCTTCCTTTCTTTTTTTAGGGGGTGCAGAAGATAGTTGCAGGATTTATATACCTGTTTATCAATTTCATTTGTTCTGAACTTCTAATCCAGTATGCTGCTTTTATAAAAACATTCACCTAAATCTCTGAAGGCTGAAGGGTTGCTACTTTGGAACAATGAACCAAGTAAGTTCTATTTTCTACTAGAGATGTAAGACTGACCCGTCTAATATATTGTTTTTGAATTTAGTCTTCATTTCAGTTCTCT